TATAAAATCAAACATAGAAAAATTATTATAGACTATTTTTACTTTCACTTTATGCTGTTGAAGGAAATGCCAGAGGCATGAGCTAAAACCTAATAACTGCCTTCAGGATCTGTTCTGTTAAAAAAGTCGTAGGTTGGTGACCCTTCCAGAACTCATGGATTAGGAGGCTAACCGTGTGCATTGCAGCTGTAGCATGGTCTTCTAGGCTTTTGAAACTAACAGGATCCCAGACCACAGAATTCATGGAATAGATTGTGGAAGCTAGACTGGACCTTAGGGACACTCTTCAGCACACTGGGTTCTTGGTTGTCACCTCCAGTGCCCCAGTTGTTTGTTTTTGTTTTGTCTTCTTTTTTGTGGTACTAGGGCTTAAACCTAGGGCCTCATATATACTAAGGACTTGCTTTATCACTGACACTTGCCCTGAGCCTGCCCAGGTGGTTTTGAGAAGAACATTGCAATAGTAGTATAAAGATTTAAAACAGGCTGGAGTGGGGGCTCAGAAGTTATGGTCACTTGCTGCTCTTGCAGAGGACCCAGGCTCAATTCCCAGCACTCACATGACAGTTAACAACCACCTGTAACTCCAGTTCCAGGGGATCGAACTCCTTATGACCCCTGCAGGCATACATAACACAGGTACACTTACTTACATGCAGGCAATACACTCATATAAATAAAAATAATTTTTAAAAAATTAAAAAATAAGGTTTAAAACAATATATTACCTCAGTGCTAGAGCACATTCCTATATTTGAACATCCAAACACACACACGCACACACACACACGTATATCAAGATTCTCCTTAGAGTCTCCCTGAAAATATCAGTCCAAGCATGGAAGAAGCCAGAGGGGTTGGCATCCCTATTCCCTATTGACAATTTGGGTAACCCCTTCAGAGGATGGCAGGATAAGAATAGGAGGTAGGAATTGGCTAGGCAGTTAGGGTAAAAAGACTCCAAAGAAATGTAGCCAGTTTCTTGGCTAAAAGTCAAAATGTCCTTGGGCCTGTTAGCAACATACTCTATTCCAAAGGCCAAAAATGTTGAAAATATTTGGGAGCTTGTATCTAATCCTTAAAAGATTTTAGGGTTACTTCTTCAGATGAGGGAATGTTGGAGGGGAGGGAGTGGGCATGGATTTAATCAAAACACCTTATATGCATGTGTGAAATTCTCTATAATAAAGTTTTTATAAAAATTTAAAAAAAAAAATCAGTCCAAGAGCATTGATTACTCAGAAAAGATAGCCAGGTTCCTGAGACTAGATCAGTCCACAGAAGAGTAGCATTGTTGGTGATGATCAGTGTAGAGATGGAGGATTTTGTGTTTTGTTTTGTTTTTAAACATTTTACTTATTTATTTGATTTTGTTGTTGTTGTTTTGGACAGGGTCTCTCTAGTCCCAGCCCACTTTTACTATGTGAACAAGACTGGCCTCAATCTCACAGAGATCTGCCTGCCTCTGCCTCCCAAGGGTTGGGTTTAAAGGCACCCACCCCCATACCTGAGTTTGTTTATTTGAGGCAGGGTTTCACTGTTCCAGGTTGGTCTAGAACTTATGTAGCCCAGGCTGGTCTCAAACTCACAATAGTCCTCCTGCCTCTGCCTCCCAAGTGATGGGATTATAGGTGTGAGCTACTGTGCTGGCCTAATTAACCATTTTTTTATTTGCTTTTTGAGACAGTTTCATATGGCTGAGACTGACCTTGAACTCATGATCTTCCTCTACCTTCCAGGTGTGCAATTACAGATGTGCCCCATGACTCTCCATGACAAATATCACAGTTTTAGAGGTTTTTTTTGACATTTATTCTTTCATGTGTGTGTTCCCGTGCACCACAGCACACACGTGCAGGTCAGAAGCCTCTCTATCACCCTGTGAATTCCAGGGGTCAAACTTGGGCTTCTCAGCCAGTGCCTTTACCTGCTGAGCCATTTCCCCAGACCTTAGCAATTTATAGGATACTATATTCCCAGTTAATTTTGTAAAATGTCATAACATTCAAAATATTCAGGGAGCTGCTAATAGGAAGAAACAAATATCAATAGCTTTTCTCATTTTTTCTCACCTTCTCTCCTGCTTTTCCTTCCTATCTACTTCACCCTGTCCATATATATCAACTTACCTGTTCTGGCTGCTATAACAAATTATCAAAGACTGAGTGGCTTATAAACAAAAGAAATTTATTTATTGACTTTGGAGGCTAGATCAGAGTACTAGTGTGGGCTAGGGCCTTATAAAGGCCCTCTAGCAAGTAGGATGCTGCTGGGGGTGGGGTTGTTTTTCTTTTTGGTCTTTTTGAGACAGGGTCTCCCTACAGTTCCAGCTGGCCTGGAATGCCCTATGTAGACCAGGCTGGCCTCAAATTCAGAGATCTGCCTGCCTCTGCTGGGACTAACCTACTGATTTCTAGTTGTATCCTCAGATAGCAAACCAAGCTGGAGGGCACTATGAGGATGCTTCATAAGACTTTAATGCCGTGTTACTGCCTAATATAATACCAATCACACCAGTTTAGGATTTCATTTCAACATAGGAATTGAATAGGAACAAAAACATTCTATCCATAGAATAGTTGGGTTTTATTTCATTTATTTATTTGTTTTTTGTTTTTGTTTCTGTTTGGTCTTTTTGAGACAGGGTCTTCCTGTAACCACAGCTGGCCTGGATTCGCTATGGAAACCAGGCTGACCTCAAACTCAGAGATTTATCTGCCTTTGCCTCCAGCCATGTGCTACCACGCCTTTATTTATTTGTATGAGTGTTTTGCATATATGTATTTAAGTGTACAGCATGGTGCAATGCCCACAGAGGCCAGAAGGTGGCTCTCCTGGAACTGGAGTTACAGATGGTTGTGAGCCATGTGGGTCCTGGGAACTGAACCCATATCCGGAAGAGCAGCCAGTGCTCTTTTTTTTTGGTCTTTTTGAGACAGGGTCTCCTTGTAGCCCAAGCTGGCCTGGAACTCACTTTGTAGACCAGGCCTGCCTCTGCCTCCAGAGTGCTGGGACTAAAGGCGTGTGCTACCATGCCCGGCGCAGCCAGTGCTCTTAACCACTTAGCCCCTTCTCTAGCCCGGTAACATAGTTATTTTAAAAAGGAGTTGTGACACTTGGGTTAAAAACTGTTAACTTGTTTTTTCTAATTAAGCTCTTTGACATTTTGTTTGTGTTTGGATTTTTAGTTGTTACCCCATTCAAGTTGACAGCTGTAGTAACAAAGACTCCAGGCTCTCAGAAGAAACCAGTATTTGATCTCAAAGCAAGTTTGTCTCGTCCCCTCAACTATGAGCCACATAAAGGTATGTGGGAGTGTTTTGGGTACAGGGCCTATAGAAGACTTAAGATAAAAATGTTCTGCATCTGGGGCTGGAGAGATGGCTCAGCAGTTAAGAACACTGGCTGTTCTTACAGAAGACTTGGGTTCGAATCCCAGCACCCACATGGCAGCTAACAACTGTAACTCTAGTTCCAGGTGATTCTCTGACAGCCTATTTGTCTTCCACATTGCACAACATGGGTGCACTTACCTACATGTAGACAATACACACATATACATAAAATAAAAATAAAATATTTTTTAAAAAAAGTTCTGCATCCAAAGATGTGAAAAAAGGCCAGGGATAGATATGTATGGTTCTGTAGTTGAGTGCTTACCTGGCAGGCATGAGGCACTGAATTTGATCCCCAACACTACAAAACTAAGAAAAGATGAGGAAAAAAAATTCTGCTGACTCAGTGGAAATTCTACCTAACTATCTTAAGTTCTTTCCCCTGCCCCTGCTTCCAAAAGGAGCCAGGATTTAAAGGACTTGTCCATTGAACAAATAACTGATTCACTTACACTTTTATTAGCCAAGGATAGAACTATAAAAAATTAAATTTCAGCCCCAATCAAAATATTTCCACATTTTAGCTATTAGGAATAATGATATTATGGACATGGGTCTATAAATGCTAACTTTGCTTTTTTTTTTTAACTTTTACAAAAACTTTGAGAATTTCATACATGCATATAAGGTGTTTTGATCAAATGCCCACTCCCTCCCCTCTAACACCCCCCATATCTCCCCATCACTTTTTTCTTCTTTACTTATTTTTATGGGGCTTTTGGCTACTCTAACATTCTCCCCTCTGAAGAGGTAACCCTAAAATCTTTTAAGGATTAGATACAA